GTTGTTGATCCTTTATACGCTCACTATTGGTTCGCCTGTTGTTTATTCAAACAGAATTTCACGTGGAACATCAAATATGTTTGGTTATTTTTTTTGGAGCTTTTTTTGGATTGACAAAGAAAATTTCAGAGATGTTAATTCCGATCTGACTAGATCTATAGCTATGTGGCTAGCTCTTTACAATATCTTCTCAATCTACCAGCTACTTGTAGACAAGGAATTGAACAAAATTAAGACGTTAAGTAGCTATGCCTTTCTTTAATACAATTGTAAATTTACTGGATTAAACATTTTATTTTGTAAAATTATTTGGAAAAAAAATTGTAAAAAAAAACCCATCAAAATTTCGACTTTTATGGCAAAACAGTTCCTTGGGAAGCAACCTCCATATTTTTATATTTTCACCCTATATTTATTGGAATGGTTTTTATACTAAAAGATTCTTGAAAATTTTAGTTATGAAAAAAAAAAAAGCATGTTCTTCTTGATGCATTCAGTTACATACTACTTCACCCTGAAATATGGGTAAAATGGCGGATTTAGACGCGTACTTATTTCATTAATTTTTTTCCTTTTGTTTAGACTTATTCTGCTGTCGAATACTTAAAGACTTCTTTCTCTACGGTTGATTTTTAGAGAGTTGTTTGAATCCAGTGTTAAATAGATCCATCTGCATGCGACACTTTCATGTGAGTGGTGCATTTCCGAGTGTGTAAATGGGTCATTGTATTTTAGGTACCTGGCTTCACAGTACCCGCATTCGTAGAGTGCAATGTCCTTGTGTGTAGTTTCGCATGATGTTCGGCTAGTTGTCTGCTTTTGAGCTTGGTTTCGCACACTGTGCAGGTGGTTTCTGTTCCATGTTCTGATTGTGTGTGTTTTTTGACATTGTCGAAGGGGAGTCAGCAAGATCCACACACTACGTTCTTTTGAGTTTTAAGGTGAATTTTTCTTTTTTAAATTCTTTTTTTCTGCCGGAAATTGCAATAGTACTAATTAAAGGGTGATTCAAGGGATTTTTCTTTTTGAAAAAAAAATACAGATACAATCCGACAACGCAACAGATATGAAATGGCGGTGGCTTAGTATATACAAATGATAGCGTAATAAATTTAAAGTTTTAGTAATACGGGTATAGCTAATAGTTAAATTGTAGTTTTCTATTTTAAAAATTTATTACATTTTTAAAAAATGAAACGCTAGTAATTTTAATTAATGCTGACATAAACGAATGCTGAATGATTTGTGTTGTATCTTCAGCGTATTCTGTATTTTATTTGTCAGCTCTGTTAATTCTATTCAAAATTACTTCCCCTGATTTCTGATCTGATTCATGCTACGTGAACCACTTTACGATACAGGAATTTTGTTTATAAAGTCTCTGGTGATTACCGAGTTAATTAAATTAATTAATTAACACGTTCTGTCGCCGTCTTTGTTTTGCTTCATTTCACCAACGTTAAACAAATTTCAGTAGAAATTTACGATTTTTTTTACACGTCAGAACGTACGTGATGGCGGGTAAGGTACCGGTGTATGAATTACCCATCTTGTTAGATTGGGCCTATCTACCATAATAATACCTTTATAATTGAGATGAATTCTAGACTGTATAGTTCTACCCTTATCCCATTTTCCACTACCTCTTATATTTTTATGTTTGTTTTATTTTGTTAAGCTTTTATAAGTTGAAATCACAAATTTCCGTATTTCATCGACACGTTTTTGAATTTTTGCTTTCAGAAAACGGTAAGTTACATGAAATGAATTATTTCATTGTCATCTCAAAATGCATTTTAGTCTTAGATATGATTTCTGGTCATACTAGTTGCCACAAGTTTTGGAGTTGCTAAACGCACTGTACGTTGTCATTTGCTGAGCAAAATAAAGTTTTGGGATATGTATTAAAGGTGAGGGAAGGCTCATCCAAACCTCCATTTGCAGTCTTTCTTCTTGGTTCTTAATCGTAATGTTGGTAGTGATTCCCTCCAACACAATTTAGTATTACGAGCAACATTCCCTCTAAGGCAGGGGTCGGCAACCTGCGGCTCGCGAGCCGCATGCGGCTCTTTTGATATTAAGATGCGGCTCTCCAGCTCCTTGCACAAATACTAATAATCTTAATAAAAAAATATAATATTTGAAATAAAAAAAATGTTAGTGGCTCTTTAAAACCAGGGAAAATTTCAAAATTGTAACTTTTGGCTCTTCCGCTTCAAAAGGTTGCCGACCTCTGCTCTAAGGGGAAAAGGCTAGTGCGCAACGTGTATTTTGTGTGCGCGGTGTTCTAAAAGTATTATACAGGGATAAATGTATTTTACAAAAGGACTGCGCGGCAGGTTCAAAACTACCGCGCAGCTTAGAGGGAACACGGATTACGAGTCAACATGTTATGCGTGGACTCCGATTTCAGCCTGTTTCATTTTTGGACTTGCTTTAATTAAATTGTATTTGTCCAACCAAGAACAAACTATAAGGCAGCAGTTGTTTGATTTTGGAGTTGTCTCTCCTAGACAAGTTGCTGTCCCCAGCTGTCGAGCCTCATAATACTGGGAGCTCGAACTCAAGAATTTTCTCACAGTCGTGAGAGATTTTTTCATTTCAATTCACTTCTCACACCATTTTCAACAAAAATAAAGAGCTCTTCAGTCGAAACCATTTTAAAAGTTTAGTTTTATTTATCTTTAAAGTCATACATGAACTGAAAGCAACCACGATAAAAAAGTAAACAAACATGACGTCACGTTCCGCTACCTGACAGGGGAGCGAACTCGTACACAATTAAATAACTAACAAAATATGCTAGTGATTGGTGAGATAATATAAAAAACAAAATATCATCATGAGATCACAAACTTGGCGTGATGGACTTTGTTTACCAAATGTTGCCACCTGGGTCAACAAAGTTTACTATTGCACGTGCAGCGGTTATTTACAGCAACTCGTTGGTCAATGTGTGCTCACGCATAATGGAACAGGTTTAAGTGATCGCAGTGTAGCACTAGCTACCAGGTGTTCACGATGTAGCAGGCTAACACTAGCTACCACTTGCTCACAATGTAGCATGCTAGCACTAGCTACCTAGTGCTCACAATGTAGCAACCCTCAACCAAAAAAAATAAAATAATTAACAACTCATCTTTGATACACATGCTATCAATATATATATAAATGTCTAGTGTCTTACCCCCCGCCAATAATCAACAATATAGGCATATATATATATATATATATATATATATATATATATATATATATATATATATATATATATATATATATATATTATGTGTGTGTAGGTCTGTGTGCTCCAAAATAATATGCGACGACCAGTTTACCTGCCCCCCCCCCCTTCCCCTAAAATGTCTAAGATTTCGGCTAGCATTAGGTTTTATTCAGGTATACAGGAGTGTGCTATTTGGCTAGTAAAATTTTCTGAACAGAGTCGCAACTGAACTACCCACTAACATAGGTGTGTAATGAGGTGTGTACCGGAGCCAGGTGTGTTATGTGGTGTGTTATGAAGTGTGTATGTGTTATGTGGCGAGATCTGAGTGTTGACATGCTTTGATATGGGGGGGGGGATGAGTGATGGAGCTTTAATGCCCTACACTTAGACTTCCTTCGCACATTTCCACACACTCGTACCACACGTACTCACACACAGCACACGAACTCACACACTGCACACATACTCACACAAATATTGCTCATCTCTAGCTACACACTGACTATCTAACACATCAACCGTCTGTCTTGTATCCTGTCTCAAAGATGCCTCATCCTGTCTTGATGTCTTACATGTAATTATTTGTTTTCCTGAACACATCGGTCTTTGTAAGACAAAATGCCATCCTTGATCTAAACAAGTAACTAAGACAAAGTTCAGAGTTCAACACATCACAATGTATGAGTTAGTTAAACCCTGTTCTACAGCCATCACAATCTTTCGGCTTTGTTTATCATTTTTGATTGGTGAAAATCATAGCAGGGCTGGTGAGGAAAGATGATTTTCAAAACTTTGAGTTCTCTGAGAGAACTAGTAGAAACATGGTTTTTGTACAGGGAGATTGTAGAGAGCCCTGTTGGAGACATGGTGTCTCACACAAGGAGCCCTAGTGAAGATAGATGTCACTCAAGGGGCCCTAGAAAACATGATGTCACATACAAGGAGCCCTAAAGGAGACTCACACACAAAGAGCCCTATAGGAGCCATAATGTCACATACACAAGGAGCCCTATAGGAGACATGATGTGTTTCACAAGGAGCCATATAGGAGACATGATGTGTTTCACAAAGAGCCCTATAGGAGACAATGTGTCACATACAAGGAGCCCTATAGGAAATATGATGTCAAACACGAGGAGCCCTATAGGAGACATGATGTGTTTCACAAGGAGCCCTATAGGAGACAGGATGTCACATACAAGGAGCCCTATAGGAGACAGGATGTCACATACAAGGAGCCCTATAGGAGCCATAATGTCACATACAAGGAGCCCTATAGGAGACAGGATGTCACATACAAGGAGCCCTATAGGAGACAGGATGTCACATACAAGGAGCCCTATAGGAGACAGGATGTCACATACAAGGAGCCCTATAGGAGACATAATGTCACACACAAGGAGCCCTATAGGAGACAGGATGTCACATACAAGGAGCCCTATAGGAGACAGGATGTCACATACAAGGAGCCCTATAGGAGACAGGATGTCACATACAAGGAGCCCTATAGGAGACAGGATGTCACATACAAGGAGCCCTATAGGAGACAGGATGTCACATACAAGGAGCCCTATAGGAGACATAATGTCACATACAAGGAGCCCTATAGGAGACAGGATGTCACATACAAGGAGCCCTATAGGAGACAGGATGTCACATACAAGGAGCCCTATAGGAGACATAATGTCACACACAAGGAGCCCTACAGGAGACATAATGCCACACACAAGGAGCCCTATAGGAGACAGGATGTCACATACAAGGAGCCCTATAGGAGACATAATGTCACATACAAGGAGCCCTAAAGAGACTCACACACAAGGAGCCCTATAGGAGCCATAATGTCACACACAAGGAGCCCTATAGGAGACATAATGTCACATACAAGGAGCCCTATAGGAGACTTGAGGACACACACATGAGCCCTATGGGAGCCTGGAAGTCACACACAAGAGCCCTTGAAGACATGATGCCACAAGAGCCCTAGAGGAGACACGATGTCACTCAGATCACCGAGAGCCCTAGACGCTAGAGATCATCTCGCGGAGCCCTAGACACTTGAGATCATCTCACAGTCGGAGCCCTCGTCACTGCTCGCCTCGATCCGGGCTCTGTTTTTTCTCCTGGACAGCTCGCGGAGTCGGGACGGCCGCGCGTCCTTGACCCCCGTGTCACTTAGTTTAAAACCACTTCCGGTGCTGACACTCCCACTTCCGCAGCCCACGGTGCCAGACATGTGTCCATCACCGGTGTCCTGGAATTACAAGAGTGGCGAGACAATCATAAGACAGGAGACAATCATAAGACAGGAGACAATCATAAGACAGGAGGCAATCATAAGACAGGAGGCAATCATAAGGAGACAATCATAAGACAGGAGGCAATCATAGGGAGACAATCATAAGACAGGAGACAATCATAAGACAGGAGACAATCATAAGACAGGAGACAATCATAAGACAGGAGACAATCATAAGACAGGAGGCAATCATAAGACAGGAGGCAATCATAAGGAGACAATCATAAGACAGGAGGCAATCATAGGGAGACAATCATAAGACAGGAGACAATCATAAGACAGGAGACAATCATAAGACAGGAGACAATCATAAGACAGGAGACAATCATAAGACAGGAGATAATCATAAGGAGGCAATCATAAGACAGGAGACAATCATAAGACAGGAGGCAATCATAAGACAGGAGACAATCATAAGACAGGAGGCAATCATAAGACAGGAGACAATCATAAGACAGGAGGCAATCATAAGACAGGAGGCAATCATAAGACAGGAGGCAATCATAAGACAGGAGACAATCATAAGGAGGCAATCATAAGACAGGAGACAATCATAAGTAAGGAGGCAATCATAAGACAGGAGACAATCATAAGACAGGAGACAATCATAAGACAGGAGACAATCATAAGGAGACAATCATAAGACAGGAGGCAATCATAAGGAGACAATCATAAGGAGGCAATCATAAGACAGGAGACAATCATAAGGAGGCAATCATAAGGAGGCAATCATAAGGAGGCAATCATAAGACAGGAGACAATTATAAGACAGGAGGCAATCATAAGGAGACAATTATAAGACAGGAGGCAATCATAAGACAGGAGACAATCATAAGACAGGAGGCAATCATTAGACAGGAGACAATCATAAGACAGGAGACAATCATAAGACAGGAGACAATCATAAGACAGGAGACAATCATAAGACAGGAGACAATCATAAGACAGGAGACAATCATAAGGAGGCAATCATAAGACAGGAGACAATCATAAGACAGGAGACAATCATTAGACAGGAGACAATCATAAGACAGGAGACAATCATAAGACAGGAGACAATCATAAGACAGGAGACAATCATAAGACAGGAGACAATCATAAGACAGGAGGCAATCATAAGACAGGAGACAATTATAAGACAGGAGACAATCATAAGGAGACAATTATAAGACAGGAGACAATCATAAGACAGGAGACAATCATAAGACAGGAGACAATCATAAGACAGGAGGCAATCATAAGACAGGAGGCAATCATAAGACAGGAGACAATCATAAGACAGGAGGCAATCATAAGACAGGAGACAATCATAAGACAGGAGGCAATCATAAGACAGGAGGCAATCATAAGACAGGAGACAATCATAAGACAGGAGACAATCATAAGGAGGCAATCATAAGACAGGAGGCAATCATAAGACAGGAGGCAATCATAAGACAGGAGGCAATCTTAAGACAGGAGGATATCATTATATAGGAGGCAGTCTTAAGACAGGAGACAATCTTAAGACAGGAGGCAATCTTAAGACAGGAGGATATCATTATATAGGAGGCAGTCTTAAGACAGGAGGCAGTCATAAGACAGGAGACAATCTTAAGACAGGAGGCAATCTTAAGACAGGAGGCAATCTTAAGACAGGAGGATATCATTATATAGGAGGCAGTCTTAAGACAGGCGGCAATCTTAAGACAGGAGGCAATCTTAAGACAGGAGGCAATCTTAAGACAGGAGGATATCATTATATAGGAGGCAGTCTTAAGACAGGAGGCAATCTTAAGACAGGAGGCAATCTTAAGACAGGAGGCAATCTTAAGACAGGAGGATATCATTATATAGGAGGCAGTCTTAAGACAGGAGGCAATCATAAGACAGGAGGCAATCTTAAGACAGGAGGCAATCTTAAGACAGGAGGATATCATTATATAGGAGGCAGTCTTAAGACAGGAGACAATCATAAGACGGGAGACAAACATAAGACAGGAGACAATCATTATACAGGAGGCAATCATTAATTACATCAATACCACTGTTAACAAAACCACATTTTAATTACACCATTACCACTGTTAACAAAACCACATTTTAATTACATCATTACCACTGCACTAAACCAACCCCCTCCAAACTCATCCCGTTAATTTAACAACCCTAACACCCACCCTCATCTCCCTGCACCCTATCCTCACACCCCTACAACATCCCCCCCCCACCCATCCCCCTCATCAATCCCACAATTCCCAAAGCCTACCCTCCCCCTCCTCCATACCTCAAGCAATGCCACCCCGCCCCCCCCCCCCCCTTTAATGCCTTTTTTATCCAATTTATCAATTTTGTGGATGCTATTTCTGTGAATGTGTTTAATGTTGTATTTTTACACCCATAACTGGCCGGGACATCGGCATTCACGGCCTGGCGCAGGGGTCAGATGTCAAATTCTATTTCCTGTTCCCTGAATGCGCCCCCCGCCTACCCCCTCCTCCATAGTTCGGTAGCATCTATTGCTGTCTGCGCCTTTAGCCATGGGAGAGAGTAGAACAAAGCCATACTTTTGTAGCGCACGCAACATAAATACTGGCGAATTCATATCGGTGTACTGCGGTCTGCCTTTTCAAAACTTTGAGAGGAAAAAAAAAATTAAAAAAAAAAAAAAAAAAAAAAAATAAATTCCACTGCGCATGCGCGGATATCGGCCATAAACTGAGAAATTCCGTCAGCCGTCGTCCAGCGGGCTAATTGATTCTGCCCGTCTACTCGTATCTTCTATTCAAACGCGGATCACTCGTAACACCCCGGCATATTTGTTCGCCAGGGGAGGAAATTTGTTTCTGTAGAACAGAATTCGCTTTTTTTTTTTAAATAAAAAAAATATATGAAAGGTTGAAAGAGTTATTTCCCTTGCACAAATTTTAGGTTATTTACACATTTGATATTTCGATGAACGAAATTTGTTTTTTTGAGTCCCATAGCCCGGGTCGTTTGTTTTAAGGGGATCACGTGATGTAATTGGACATGGCAGAAGGTAGATAAGACCGGTAGTGACCATTAGGTTAGACAAGCTGGACACACGATAGACCTTAGGTGACCGTTTGATTGGACAGGTGATGACCACTACGTTCGACCGTTGGTGACCGTTAGGTTAGACAAGCTGAACACTGTGGCGACCTTAGGTGACCATTAGACCGAAAGAGATCAGTGATGTGTAATTAAAACAAAGAGCAACTAGACTTTAAACCGATCATAACCAATAGACAGAAAGAGACCATTTCTTTGGATCACTGATGTCTATTTTAAAAACAAAAAGCGACCAGACTTTAAAGAAAGAGCAACTAGACTAAAGTTTAAAGCAATATGGTTAAAGAAACCGCAATCTTTACTGTGTTGAATTTATGCTAAAGCCGAGTAGAAAGTTGGACTAGGGTACTTGGACATTTGAAAATCTCAGAACTCCAGTTTAAAATTTTTGAATCAATGAAATCAAGTGTGTTGAGGCGTTGCAGAGTTACAGAACAACAACACCAGCTGGGTCCCGGGATTCTCAAAATATGGGTCACAAACTACCCAAATTGGGCCGTTGTCTTCCTGCCCGGGTATTGGTTATCTTTTTGTTATTATTTTGTATCTCTTTCTGGGTTTGTGTCTCCATTCTGAGAATTTCTGTCATGTTTCGGCCTCTCTCTTCGGTCATGGGTTTTCTGTTCGGCTCTGAATATCTGTGTCTGGCTTTGTGTCTCTCTGTCCGGCCCAGGGTCTTTCTGTTCGGCCCTGTCTCTTTGTCCAGCTATAGGTCTCGATGATCGGCACTAGGTTTCTCTGTTCGGTCCCAGGACTCTAGGGTCAGCCCTCGGTCTCTCTGTCCTGCCCAGAGTTTCTTTGTTCGGTTCCGGGTTTCTCTGTTCTGTCCTGTCTCTTCGTTCGTCTCTATGTCTCTATGATCGGCCCTGGGTTTCTCTGTCCGGCCCTGTTTCTCTATGATCGGCCCTGGGTTTCTCTGTCCGGCCCTGTTTCTCTATGATCGGCCCTGGGTTTCTCTGTCCGGCCCTGTTTCTCTATGATCGGCCCTGGGTTTCTCTGTCCGGCCCTGTTTCTCTTTGATCGGCCCTGGGTTTCTCTGTCCGGCCCTGTTTCTGTATGATTGGCCCTGGGTTTCTTTGTCCGGCCCTGTTTCTCTATGATCGGCCCTGGGTTTCTCTGTCCGGCCCTGTTTCTCTATGATCGGCCCTGGGTTTCTCTGTCCGGCCCTGTTTCTCTATGATCGGCCCTGGGTTTCTCTGTCCGGCCCTGTTTCTCTTTGATCGGCCCTGGGTTTCTCTGTCCGGCCCTGTTTCTCTATGATCGGCCCTGGGTTTCTCTGTCCGGCCCTGTTTCTCTTTGATCGGCCCTGGGTTTCTCTGTCCGGCCCTGGGTTTCTCTGTCCGGCCCTGGGTTTCTCTGTCCGGCCCTGGGTTTCTCTGTCCGGCCCTGGGTTTCTCTGTCCGGCCCTGTTTCTCTATGATCGGCCCTGGGTTTCTCTGTCCGGCCCTGTTTCTCTTTGATCGGCCCTGGGTTTCTCTGTCCGGCCCTGTTTCTCTATGATCGGCCCTGGGTTTCTCTGTCCGGCCATTGGTCTCTCTGTCCGGCCATTGGTCTCTCTGTCCGGCCCTGGGTTTCTCTGTCCGGCCCTGTGTCTCTGTCCAGCTCTGGGTCTCTCTGTTCGGCCTGTGTCTCTCTGTCTCTATGATCGGCCCTGGCTCTCTTAAAGTCAAGTTCTAAGCCTCAAGATTCGGCCCTGATTCCTTGCCCGGCCCTGAGTCTCCGACCCCTAAATCTCAACACCCTGCCCACGTCTCTTTGTCCGGCTTAGTCTTCCCACCCTTTGTCAAAACAAATCCCAGCTAAGTAAACTTCAACTCGCCCAAAAAAAAACCGCCCACCCGCACCCTATTTGACGATTACAGTAAAAAAGAAAAAAAAAGCGAAAAAAAAAAAAGAGGAATTAGGAGAAGTATTTGTCAGAGATAGGAATCAACCAATTCCAGCCACGATTGATGAGTTGCGTCTGCTCCGACAGATCGCCACAGAATTTCTGTCCGGAAGCAAACGCCGGATCTGACAGCCCGGATGATCAAAATCAACAACGCTCTCTTCCACTTGTTCTGCCGCTGAGTTCCGTTTTAAATCCGGTCTTGTTTTTTTATATTATTATTATTATTATTTTTCTTTTTTTTTTTTTACATGAAAAAGGAAAAGGGTGGGGATCGGGGTAATGTAATTAAAGAAATTGAAAATGCTTGTCGCATCAGTCTCGAAAGACAAGCGGTCCAATAGGGGACCGTGTCGGAGATCATGTGACTGGCCGGGGGAAGAAATGTCCGGCTAAAGATCGCCGGCTGTGTTAACACCAAGGCGAAGAATGGCTACTAATACACTCAGGGTGGATGTTTATCTTCCACCAAGATGGCCGCGCGGCTGACACGGTGGCGCGATGGGGGTGGGGGTGGGGGGAGGGGGAGAGATCATCGCTGTCTTATCATCGCTGTTTATTTGATGATGTGGTGGGGGGGGGGGATGCTTGATGGTGGGATGGGGGTGGGGGTAAAATTTGAGTATGTGTTTTGTTGATGGATGATTATGATGAGTAGAGTTGTGTGGTTGTTTTGAAGATAGTTTTTTTTAGGTATGTGTTGTTGTTGTTGTTTTTTAAAAGATATTTATGTTTGGTTTTTTTATTTTTTTATTTTTGGTTTTTCAAGTACTTGTGTGCTTTTTAGGTAGTTGGGTGGGTTTTATGTTGAGTGATTTTTAGGCAGTTTCTGTGGGTTTTTTTTGTTGTTGTTGTTGTTATTATAATTTTGTAAATTAATAGATAGTGTATTTTGTAAAAATACTGTATAATGTCAAAAAAAACTCCAGATATCACATTGTACAGTCACTAAGCTCCAGATATATCAATATATTATGTCTAAGCTCCAGATATCCCACTTTCTAATGTCACTACGCTCCAGATATTCCAGTTTCTAATGTCGCTAAGATATCCCAATGTATTAACGACAAGCTCCAGATATCCCATTTTCTAATGTCAGTCACCTCCAGATATCCCAGTTTTTAATGTCACTAAGCTCCAGATATCCCAGGCTCTAATATCAATAAGATATCCCAATGTATTGACCACAAGCTCCAGATATCCCAGTTTCTAATGTCACTAAGCTCCAGATATCACAGTTTCTAATGTAAATAAGATATCCCAATGTATTGACGACAAGCTCCACATATCGAAAGGTAAATGCCCGGCTTAGTTAGAGATCGACCTGCTGGTCCAATGCAAGCATCTACTGTTGGGGGGTCTGGCACAGCTGGTTGGGTAAACACGGGCATCACGTGGGGAGGGGTGGGGAGCAGACAGCGAGAATTGAACACTGGATTGAACGCGCTGGGGTGGGGGGGGGGGGGGTTAAGTAGGCTACTATAGGAGTTCTTGGTTTTTTAGGGGTCTTGGTTTGTTAGGAGTCGTTTTTTTAGGGGTCTTGGTTTTTTAGGGGTCTTTGTTTTTAGGGGTCTTGGTTTTTTACTTGGTTTTTTAGTAGTCGTTTTTTTTAGGGGTCTTGGTTTTTTTAGGGGTCTTGGTACTAAGGACGTCTTGGTTTTATCGATGTCGATACTATGGGGATCTTGGTTTTTGGAGGTCTTGCATTTATAGGGGTCTTGATCCTTTGGGGGGTCTTGCTTTTATGAGATTCTTGGTTTTTTATGGTGGGGGGGGGGGGGGGGGAGAGTCTTGTTTTTATGGGGGGGGGTCTTGGTTTTATGGGGGTTGGTTTTATGAGTGGGTCTTGGTTTTATGGGGGGGGTCTTGGTTTTATGGGGGGGAGTCTTGGTTTTATGAGTGGGGGTCTTGGTTTTATGGGGGGAGTCTTGGTTTTATGGGAATCTTGGTTTTATGTGAGTTGGTTTTATGGGGGGGGGTCTTTGTTTTATAAGGGTGGGAGGTGTCTTGGTTGTATGGAGGTATCTTAATAAGGTCTCGGTCTCACAGAGATCTCGGAAGTTTCAGTCCTATGGAAACGTCGATGATCTCTAGAGGTGTTACGGAACTATAATGGGGAGTGCTAATGTTATGTTTATGGGTACCGAAACAGTAAAATAACAAGAGGAATATCATCGGAGAAAACTCAAAACTAAAAAGAAACTCGGCGTCAAGTATCTATCTATATATATAATTCTCTTTTTGGAGACGCTAGAAAACAAGCTGTAAGCGCTCCCTCCCACCCCTCCACTACATGGTCTGGTGAGCTTTGGTTCACGCTAAATGTTTACAATCGTAGAGCCAGGTTTAGTGACGGCTATTCGGGGCAAATAATTTAGTTTGAAACGATTTTAAACTTAGGGGAAGTAACTAAGAGGAGGCTGCTTTCACGGGGGGGGGGGGTGTAGGGTAGGGGTTGGGGAAAGGAGGGTGGGGGTAGTATTGTCCTTAACGACCTACTGATAGTGTTTTAAAGCAAATATTTTCAGTGGCAGCATTGGTACTGTCGAATTCACAAATTATGAATTACTGAAAAGTAGAAAATAAAACAAATAAATAGCGGCGTATGATACGCCGCGGGCCGGCTCGTATAACTAAAGCGACATCTTCCGACAAGGCAAACATCCGACACAATGCCAGATAAGAAATAAGAAACCATCCACCGAAACTAACAATTATTTTTAAAAAACTGAGGTTCAAGCTAATGTTAAACATATTCGAAAATTGCTCTAGAAAAAAAAAAAACTTCAGCGTTATTAAAACCAACCATGACAGTAAACATCGGAGTCTTTCTGTTGCTAAACACTTACCTTGTCAATTAAACTGTTAGAGGCAAAGGAATCGAGCGAGTGATTATCCTGGTATTCGAATCCTTGCAGCTGAAGAGCTCTTCTCTTTTGTCGGCTCTTAATGTACTCACGAACCTGTAGGGACGATATCAAACCACGATTACAATGGTAAGTGGAATATCGATACGGCAGTATACAACAAGTTAACTGTTTGACTTATAGCTATGTGACTGTTTGACAAGTAGGTAGGGGGGGGGGTGTAACAACAAATCAACTGCTTGACCGTTGACTATTTTGCTAACACGTAGGAGTGTGTGTGTGAGTAGGGGGGAATACATCAAATAACACATGTTAGACTTGACTTTGCAAATGTAAATACATTTTGGGAGGTTGTGGGGGGGGGGGGCAGAGTTTCTCCCAGGCATCTCTTCGGGAGAGGGGCGCTTCCCCCGAAGAAAGTCTACCGCCCCCCCCCCCCCCCGAACGAAATGGAATTTATATAGAAAACATATACTTTTACCAGTGTCGTCGCCCCCCCCCCCCCCCCCCGCAGAAAAAAAAGTCTGGAGAAACACGGGGGGGGGGGGGATTCTGACCATTGTGATGAAGAAAAACGTTGATGAATGCGTTATGCCATAAAATGTGCAGAGAATTGCTTGCTGGTGATCATATCTGATAGAGGTTTAGAATGAAGCTGATTTTTTTTTTGTTTTCACTGGCGGCTTGTCAAAAAATGATTACCGACGTTTGGAAAAGTTAACTGCAGCAGTTTTATTACAGAGGTGCAGAAGTGTCAGGTAGGTTAGCTCGGGTCCTGTCGGTGTCGCCCAATGGACGCACCAGTACCAGAATCTTATGAGATCTATTCCGCCCTCAACTACGAGATAAATCTTCATCATCACTGCCCGACACCCCTGATGGGGTATGGACCACCAACTACATTTCCTCTCAGGGGAAACAGTCAGTGTGCAACGTGTATTTTATGTGCGCGGTGTTCTAAAAGTCGTATACAAGAATGTGTGTATTCTACAAAGCTGCAGGTTCAAAACTACTGCGCGGCCAGGCAGCTTGGAGGGAACATTGGCCGCCAACCAAAGATCTCCAGAGTCCTCTGTCAAGTGCTATCCTCTCAACCTGACTCCAGATGAAGCCCATCTTTGTGGCTTCAGCCGGGTATTTTTTTGGTCAACCTTTTTCCTTAAGGGTTCCACCTCAATGCCTGTCTGGTGATATTGGTTAGTGGTCAGCGCAGTGTGTACCTATCCAATTCCATCTTGTTCCTAATTTCTTTTTCAGCGGCAAGTTGTCCTGTCGTTTCCCAAAAGTAAACGTTAATAAATAAGATAGGCCTATAAAGGTGCTTTAATTATCTTTAATCTTCTTCTTCTTCGTTCTTAATTTGGTATATGAGGGAGGATTTAACAACAAGGCCAACTTCGTGTATGAACTGGACTGTGGTCTCCAGATCAGCGGGTGCCCCATATAGTTTTTCCTTGAGTGGGGTGTGTAGGAGCCAGTGTTTGGCCTTTAATAATTCGAAGGTTTTTTAAATATCACTCCTCCATTGAGTCCCACGTAAAAGTTTGCTGAGGGGGCTATTTACAAACATATTTACTATATATATATATATATATATATATATATATATATATATATATATATATATATATATATATAAACATATTACCAAGGACTGTGGTTGTACTTAGTAATTACGCTATAAGTAAGAATTCCCAAGTGTTTTTGACAAGTCAGCTCCCAAAGTGCCAGTTAATCACGAAGATTGCCATGCGGACATAATTTTAATCACACAAATTTCTCTGTACATGAAAAAAAAAGCAACAAAAAACGTTGCCAGTTGTTTTAATTTAAATTGGGTGGAAATATAATTGAAAAACGTCCGCCCGTCTCCAGCGAGACCCTCTTGACTTTGTCTTCTGTTGAAAATCTTGGCCCCCACGGTCACCCTGAAGCATGTCCAAGGATGCGCGCTCGAGGATTTCTGTAGCCATTTTGTGGCCCACCTCCCGTTCATTGTACTGGCCCGCCGAGGCGATTAATGCCCCTGATTGAAGTCCTCTCCTGTACGACCATCTGCGTATTTGATTTGTCTCGTTTTTCCCCCCGCCAGAAATCGGGAATTCCAAACGACACTATTGCGCAGGCGTACACGGTCCCCGGCACGCGGCCCGTTCTGCTCAATTACAGCCACGTGACCGATGGGCGGCCATATTTCCTAATCCAATTAACGAAAAGGAAGACGTAGAGTCCCCGGATCATAATGGCCGCTCAAATGTGCCAGTCAGCAGATTAAAAAGCCTCCATAAAAATGAAATGTTGTTGGTCTTTATGGGACGGCCCGGCCCGCCGTCTTAACTCGCGGAGACAGACGCGCAAACAGGAAAAGTTTGTTTAAGGGAATTGCAACTCAGCCGGCGATGCCATATTGCATCGTTTCCGGCCAGAGTTATCCCCCTTCCCCCACCCCTTTCACGCCGTGGTCCCGTCAAATCCCCCCTCCCCCTCCATCTACCCCCCAACCGGACTGGGACTAGTAGTAATGGGACAGCTAAGTGTGGAGAAATGCCGCCTTGTACATCTAGATACGGTGATGAACGCCCGGAAAATTCCCGCGGACAGAGACGTCTTATCGAAGAATGCATCGCATCAATCACCCCGCGGGTACCGTCCCGGCAACGCCTGACTTTAAGACTGATGACTTTTTATCAAATCAATTTTAAGACGGATGGCTTTTTATCAAAATCCTGAGATCGACAAGGATTCATTATGTTCTTTACAGGCATCGAAACAAAACAAAAATCGATTATAGTTTTTGTTATGTTTCTATCTGATAACATGACAGGTCGACCATTTAGAATTTTACATTTGAAAGTCTGACAAATTATAAACTGCGCATGCGCGAACAGCTAAAGTCCTGGATGTTTATCGATGATATTGAGTCATCGGAATTTAAAATAGAAATCTTGAATGTATATGTATTATATTATATTTATATAAAAATATGAACAAGTTCGTAGCTTCTAATTATATTTTAATAATGTCTGCCAAACGGACACCGGTCTGTGTATGAATGAATACTTAAATATGAATAATTAAACCAAACTGCAACAATATTTTAAAATGGGGCCTGCTTAAGATTGTACAAAAAACTGTTTTAAGATTTTACAAAATTTATTTTATTTTAAATTTCTTGTTATTATTTTAAGATTTCTTTCTCAGAAATGTGTAAAAAAAAAATCTTCCTAATTTACATATTCAGAATGTTAAAATATTGACAGAACATAATACAAAAGCAAACATAATATAACCCAAAACCAGTAAACCTATCTATCCTAGTTTGGTCACGTTTTACGCGGGGAAAAAAAAAACCTGGCCATTTCGTGCCTCCCCGCGCTGCACACAACTGGCCAGTTTGGCGGTGGTTTATGGTGTCCTGTTCAAGCAGAAGACAATGGGCGGCAATTCCCAGCAGGACGGCATATGTCCCCTCCACACCAGCAGACGGCGGGTGAGTCAGTTAGCAATGATCATTGGATGGTCATTAGAACTGCGGGCCCCCACTCCGGCCCCGGCCCCACAGGAGGGGCTCGTCTGTCACGGGGCACAATGCAATCCTTTTCTTGCGGTTCGCGGGAAAACAACTTGAGCCCCATATGCGCCTAATACAACTCGGATTGCCGGTAAATACTCTTCGCCTCAACATCGCTAAACCGTGACTTGGTCAAAGTTTTTGTATTTAATTACTTTTTATATACCCGTATTATTTTACAAATTCAGCCCATAATAGCTAAGATCTTTAGAATTGAAATAAAATGTATTAAAATTGGCTTCGTTGTCTATAGGCCTATATTATCTATAGTAATTATATCACACAAATATATCCCAAAATAATGCTTATACGTCTTATGAACCCATAGATCTTTAGATATATTGATGTCAATTATAATACATTTTTATATGCCTTTATTAGCCCATATTTGGCCCTAGTATAAGTATAATCTAAAATATAGTATTAACATATAGTATTAACTAACATACTAACATCTAAGTACTACCATACTATATATACATACAAATTATATATATATATATATATATATATATATATATATATATATATATATATATATATATATATATATATATATATATATATATAATATTTACAGTCAATGCATTTTGTTTTATTTTGTTTTCTCGATTTAATTAAATCAATCTGCTCGGAATCTACTCGTCATTTATTCAAAATGTCAAAATGTTAGCCAATTTGACAGTTGGGACTATTGACACTTCCCAGTTCATTGTAAGGTTACACCAATGGAATCTACCCAGTACCCACCCCGATGTAAAGTAGCGAGTTCATATTTTTTTGTCACTTCCCAGATAAAAATATTCAAACTTGGTGTGTCCCCGATGAATTGAAACACAGCGGGCAACAAAACATGCAGATCTTCACAGATTGGTTTTAAGCCCCCCAATTCTGACGATTAGCCACCCCCCACCCCTTTCTCAGTTCTCTTTCTTGATCATCTTTTTAGTATTGAGACCATCGTCGCGAGTTCTGTCCCTTGAACGCGGCGGTTATTCAAAGCTCATGAGAGGGCAATAGGAAGAAAGTGACAAATTAGCTAGATGAGCATACGGCGCACGAACCCACGTCTCGTGAGCCAAAACAATGGCGGAGGGCTTTTGTTGCAGCCAGCGCCATCTGTCGGCAAGTGTGCGTTATCTCCCTTGCCCCTGTCGTCCCTTTTGTACCGAGTTGAAGTGTTGAATAGGGGAGGGAATTGATGATATTGTTGTTGGGGTGGTTCGAGTGTCTACAGCCAGTTACCAGCAAACAAGTTTATGTCGCAGGAGGAACTAATGCTTCATTAGAGATGAATTAGAAGGAAGGATAGAAGACATAAAGAAGCTGGGGTTTAGTTTTAATTCCAGGGGAGTTAAGCGCTTGGGTTTAAGAAACAGGAAGAGCACTTAAAGTAGGTACGTGGTGAAGTACAAAGGGGGAAAGGAAGGGCATAAGGGGCAGTTTTGTTAATGAGAAGATGATAGGAGGGGGAAAAAAGGTGGGATGGAGAGGTTTAGTTAGTAAAACATGGCTGTATATAACATAGATGATAATGATCATCTGAACAATGACAATGTCACATGACCAACTGAACAGCAACAATGTCACATGACCAAATGTACAACAACAATGTCACATGACCAACATAACAACAATGTCACATGACCAACATAACAACAATGTCACATGACCAACATAACAACAATGTCACATGACCAACATAACAACAATGTCACATGACCAACAGCACAAAAACAATGTCACATGACCAACTTAACACTGTCACATGACCAAAATGACCAACATAACAACACTGTCACATGACCAAGAGTACAACAACAATGTCGCATGACCCATAAAAACAATGTCCACATGACCAACATAACAACAATGTGACATGACCAACTTAACAACAACAATGTCACATGACCAACTGCACAAAAACAATGTCACATGACTAAACCGACTTGACGCTAACAATGCCCCCCCCACGCCCATGCCCAGTTCTGCAGGCAGAAGACGGGAAAGATCAATTGAAAGTTTCTTGAGCGGACCTGGCTGTTGTGTCCATGTGGCCCCCACCCCAGCCCCCCACCCCAGCCCCTCCAATCTAATCAGCCTTCTAATCCACTTATCAATGAAGCATCTTGGAATTATCCCCCTTGACGACACGGTTAGCGTTTCGTCCCCCCGAGGGTGGATACTGGCCGGGGGTGTGGGGAAGGGAGGGGGTGGGGCGGGGGAGCAAGAGTTAGAAAAACAAGAAATTTCAGCGTTATTAAATTTAAAGCTTTGGAAGCAGAAGAAATCACATAGGCCGGGACAGGCAGCGTCCTGGGCAGATCTGGCTGGTCAAGACGTCTGGTCAAGATGGCTGACAATAGCATGTGATCAAGATGGCTGACAATAACATGTGGTCAAGATGGCTGACAATAACGTCTGGTCAAGATGGCTGAAAATAACGTCTGGTCAAGATGGCTGACATGTGGTCAAGATGGCTGACATGTGGTCAAGATGGCTGACATGTGGTCAAGATGGCCGACAATAACGTGTGGTCAAGATGGCTGACATGTGGTCAAGATGGTTGACAATAACATGTGGTCAAGATGGCTGACATGCGGTCAAGATGGCTGACAATAACGTCTGGTCAAGATGGCTGACAATAACGTCTGGTCAAGATGGCTAACATGTGGCCAAGATGGCTGACAAAAACGAGTGGTCAAGATGGCTGACAATAACGTCTGGTCAAGATGGCTGATAATAACGTCTGGTCAAGATGGTTGACAATAACATGTGGTCAAGATGGCTGACAATAGCATGTGGTCAAGATGGCTGATAAAAGCATGTGGTCAAGATGGCTGACAATAGCATGTGGTCAAGATGGCTGACAATAACATGTGGTCAAGATGGCTGACAATAGCATGTGGTCAAGATGGTTGACAATAACATGTGGTCAAGATGGCTGACATGTGGTCAAGATGGCTGACATGTGGTCAAGATGGCTGACAATAGCATGTGGTCAAGATGGCTGACAATAACGTCTGGTCAAGATGGCTGACAATAAAGTCTGGTCAAAATAGCTTACAATAACATGTGGTCAAGATGGTTGACAATAACATGTGGTCAAGATGGTTGACATGTGGTCAAGATGGCTGACATGTGGTCAAGATGGCTGACATGTGGTCAAGATGGCTGACAACAACGTCTGGTCAAGGTGGCTGACAATAACGTGTGGTCAAGATGGTTGACAATAACATGTGGTCAAGATGGCTGACATGTGGTCAAGATGGTTGACAATAACATGTGGTCAAGATGGTTGACAATAACATGTGGTAAAGATGGTTGACAATAATGTATGACCAAGATGGCTGACAACATGTGGTCAATTGGCTGTCAATAACATATAGTCAAGATGGCCGACAGTAACGTGTGGTCAAGATGTCGGACAATGAAGTGTCGTAAAACTGGATGATAAAAACGTGTGTTCAATTTGGCAGGACAATGACGTGTTATCAAGTTAAGAATTATAAGTCACAGTGGGTCTACTTTCCCTTTTAATATGCAATAAACCATATTTGATGCTTAGATAAACACTTCCTAGACACTAAAAAATATCTAGTTTTTCATACACGTTGAGCTCTTACAGCGTACAGCTCTAACAAACTGACCACAATCTTACAGCTCTAACAAACTAACCTCAACAAACTGACCTTCATCCCTAACAAACTGGCCTTATGTTCACACGTGTATAAAACAAAACCACTCACCTCTTCATGAAGAAACATGTAGAAGACCACAAAGAAAGCTCCCTGAAAACATTGAAAAAAAAAAGTTATTTCTATCACATCTAATGTTTTTTTAGTTGTAAGTAAACAGTAAACCTCATACATGAGTAGGAAATCACAAGAATATTAAAGAGTATAGTTCTTTTATAAGCAAGTATGTCTGAAAGATTATCTAGATTATCTACCACACTTTCTAAGAGATTATGTGGAGGATTAAAATCATTTTTTCCACGTTTTCTTTAACTTGCTTTCGCTTCTGTTTGTTTGTTTGTTTTTCCAATCAAATCTTGCGATCGAAATTTCTGGCACTTCCCAGTTAGCTAGCGCGCTGAAATTTTCAGGGAAGCTTTGTTTTGGATGACAATAGAATATTCAATTGTTATTATTACTAAATTGATCCATGGAAACATTTTATTGATCATTTTAGACCGCTATATAATTGTACAAAAAAAACGTGGGGAAAAAGGGACATAACCCAGTAACTGTAATTTGTTGAAAACAAGGTTCGGTACTCTCCCTCTTTTTGCTTACTGAGTAGTTGTCACGCGGTGTTTGTGTACAAACAACCAGAACGTAACTGGTGGCCAGTATGGGGGAGACGATATGGTCGAGTGGTTGGGCACACGATTGCTAAGCCACTCGACACGGGTTCAAGGCACGTGTTTTTTACGAGTTGTCTTCGTTTACCCAAAAAAAAAAGTGAATGCGAAAAGATAAAATCGATAGCAAGATTTTAATGCAAACAAACAGACAAAGACTAAAAAGTAGAAAATAATTATCATTAAAAAAGTTTAAAAAAACCCACGTTTTCTGATTGAACTAAAAAGTAGAAAATAAATACTATACATCACAATAATGCAAGCGATCACTCTACTATAAGCGATGAAAAACGTGATTTTCTTACAGTTTCTAATACTGTTGACTCTCTACAAGCTCCATAATAAAAGTCAATAGTATTATCTAATCAATAGTAATATAACTTTTACTTCGGCACCCCACGTTTTTCATCGCTTATAGTAGAGTGATCGCTTGCATTATTGTGATGTATAGTATTTATTTTCTACTTTTTAGTTCAATCAGAAAACGTGGGTTTTTTAAAACTTTTTTAATGATAATTATTAACAAGTATGTCTGAAAGAGGATTAAAAACATTTTTTTTTTACAATTCTGCTGAATTTTAAAAACCCCACAAACTACATATCAACATAAATAGTTATTACATTAAAAGCAGGGCAACTTACAGTTATTTTTTTTTTTTACATTAATATACAATTTTTATCACATTAGCACAAAACTGGATAAAAAATGTTTAAGAGACAGCCTGATGCTATTGATTGGGAGTCAATACATGTTGTTAGACATACAAATCTTGACAGACATACAAAAGTTGACAGATATAGGGGTCATCCATAAATGACTTACGCTTTTTTTGACGATTTTTTATACCTCCCCCCCTCCTCTCCGTCACAGAACATCAGACCCCCCTCCCCCTTAAAGTGACGTTCACACCTCAGCCACCCCCCCCCCCCCCCTCAAAATTGCAGTTGAATTTTTCTTAAAACACCGATATTTTTCCAAAAATCTTGTCTGAACCATGTTAAAATAGAGTATTTTAATAATTTACTATTACAATTTATTAAAACAGATTTCTAAAACGTGAAATAACGGTAAATATTAGTTTTCTAGCATTCTTTCTTTATAATGCAAAAGTGTGACGTCACACCATCTGAACACTCCCCCCCCCCTCATCAAAATTACGGACCCCCCTCCCCCTACGAGTGTGACGTCATTTATGGACAACCAGATTACAAACATTGACATATCTGGCCATCATACGCATATTTAGTCATCCACATATTAAAAGCCATACAGATTTAAACAAAAAATGTCGAGCTGTTAAGTGAAAGAAATTTTAAAATTAAATTTTCGCTATTTTATTTTTTTCCTTTTACATCGACAGAATAGTTCAAAATGCCAGCACGATTCAGGGTTACACCATTTGTTTTAAATTCACTGGCTGCACACATTTCATGGGCGACAACCCGAGAATTCTTACATTTAAAAAAAAATCCACAAGTTTTCTCCCTTTAAAAAATATATTGTTTAAAGTGTAAGCCCCACTACCCCATCTATTCTGGTCATTAATTAATGTGAGAACAACTCACCTGTAAGGATGTAAACATGGCGTACAGGTACTTGAGAATGGTGTCCACAATTTTAATGGAGATGAAGGCAAAAGCCCAACACACAGTCACCAGAATTACCTGTGTCCAGAGGGCTTTCATGTGGATGCTGGGTGGGGAGGGGGGGGGGGGGGAGAGAAACAAAAAATATACAACAAATACTGTTTACACTGTTCTAATTATTTCTTACACACCTATTATTGCTTACTACAAATACTAGCACATAGGTAGCACACTGTTTTGATAGCAAAGTAGCAATTATTTTTTTTTCACAGACATTTCTTCAGATATGACTTCAGACATGACTTACACTACAGACAATTCTTAAGACTTGACTTACACGACAAACATGAGACTTACTTGATGACTTTGTTTGTTTTATCACTTTTTGTGTACGAATTTTCATTGTGTTCTTTTGCAGTGAAGATCAAAACTAAAATTGTTATCTAAGAAGCAATATAAAAAATATAAATAAATAAAAATAACATTTTTCTTATGCTCATGGATGTGAAAGGTGAAAACTTCATTTTAACACTTTGATTTCAAATTTTATTTTTTATAGCAGTGGTTAAGTTGGACATTTTACAAGTGATAATATTAATTGTTAGTTATAGTGATTATGGTATTTAGCAACATATGTCAACATACTGGCATAATACGAATAATATCTTAAGGTCATGACACTAAAACAACTTACTGACATCAATGGCAACTTATTGACATGACACCAAATGACAACTTACTGACATGACACCAGTGACAACTTAGTGACACCAATGACAACTTACTAACATGACACCAGTGACAACTTACTGACACCAATGGCAACTTACTGACATGACACCAATGACAGCTGACATGACACCAATGACAACTTACTGAGATGACACCAAAGACAACTTATTGACAAGAAAACTTACTGAAATGATACCAATAGCTGGACCAATAAACAGCCACATGTGATCAGGCGCCACCCAGCACCTGCAAGCAAAATGTCATTTGACAAATTCAAAACATGTCATTTGACCAGTTCAAAACATGTCATTTGACCAGTTCAAAACACGTCATTTGACCAGTTCAAAACATGTCATTTGACTAGTTCAAAACATGTCATTTGACCAGTTCAAAACATGTAATTTGACCAGATCAAAACATGCCATTTAACCAGTTCAAAACATGCCATTTGACCAGTTCAAAACATGTCATTTGACATGTTCAAAACATGTCATTTGACCAGTTCAAAACATGTCATTTGACCAGTTCAAAACATGTCATCTGACCAGTTCAAAACATGTCATCTGACCAGTTCAAAACATGTCATTTGACCAGTTCAAAACATGTCATTTGACCAGTTCAAAACATGTCATTTGACCAGTTCAAAACATGTCATTTGACCAGTTCAACAACTGTCATTTAACAATGTTAAAATACCCTACGATACAGGCAATTACTGATACTACTTTTCAAGTTCTATAAAGAACTGACGCTAATTAAAATCTAATCAACAAAACAACAAGGCTAAAGCTCTTACATGTCTTGTGCATAATAATGATCTGAAGTTCCAACAAAAGCACCAACCAAAATGGCAGGGAGAACTGGATGAAACAAATACAAGTTTTATTTGGATGCTTCATTTGGTTTATTTATTTATTAAGTTATTCACATAAACATAAGAATAATTCCAAGAGATATTTAATTTTTTTTTCACATAACTGTTTCCTGCGTGGTCTAATAGTAGAGCTCACAAACTCTAACGCAAAGATCTGGAGATCAGATCTGGGGCTCAAATGTAGAATGTCCCTGAGTCCGCCCTGCTAAAGGTGATGGTGTGGTCGAATGGTAGAGCGATTGGCTTCTAGCCTGAGGATCTAGAGTTCAGGGCTTGGTTTGGACTTGTGACTGTAGAATGTCCCTGAGTCTACCCTGACTCATGTTAGGGAGAGTAAAGTGGCTGGACAAAGTGCTGACCTCACTATCCCCATGTGTGCCAAGGTCATTAAAACAGATGAACTCTGCTTCATCTGCTTCATGTGTTTTGGGTACGATGGGACAAGAGGACGATGATTTACCTGTTATTCCACATTAACTTTACCAAAGTGTAACCTTAATACTGTACCTGTAGTTATTAGCTTTACCAAATTATAAGAAATAACGCCTTATGCTAGAACTGTAGTTCTTAACTTTATGAAAGTATAACCTTAACACTGTATCTGTAATTATTAACATTACCAAAGTAAAACAAAGAACAACTTATGCTGTAACTATTACCTTTAACAAAGTTTAACAGATAAAGCCTTACCCAGCCTAAGACCTTAATCCTGTAACTGTAGTTATTAACTTTACCAAAGTATAACCTTAATACTATAACTGTAGTTATTACCTTTACCAACTATAACAAATAAAGCCTTACCCCAGCCTAAGACTTTAATACTGTAACTGTAGTTATTACCTTTACCAAAGTATAATAAATAAAGCCTTACCCCAGCCTAAGACGTAGTAGCGGATCATGGAGCCGGAGTTTGTCTGTTCGCTGGGGTTGTGGGTGGAGTAAGTGATGACAATGTACAGGTTAAATGCTTCGTTCATGACCCATGAGTAGGTGGCCAGGAAAAAGTAGTGGAGGAGGATGGCAAATACTTGACAGATGGACTGTGGGGGCAATACAAAACATGGACTGGATAAAATACTTGACAGATGGACTGTGGGGGCAATACAAAACATGGACTGGATCAAAGACTTGATGGATGGAATGTAGGGGCAATACAAAACATGGACTGGATAAAATACTTGACAGATAGACTGTGAGGGGGCAATACAAAACATGGACTGGGTTAATACTTGACAGATGGACTGTAGGGGCAATACAAAACATGGACTGGATCAAATACTTGTTAGATGGAATGTGGGGGCAATACAAAACATGGACTGGATTAAATACTTGACAGATGGACTGTGGGGGCAATACAAAACAAGGACTGGATCAAATACTTGATAGATGGAATGTGGGGACAATACAAAACATGGACTGGACCAAATACTTGATAGTTGGAATGTGGGGATAATACAGCACTCAAAGTTTTTGAAAAATATTTTAGCAATATAAAATTATTTTATTTTCCAAGGTTTTGAAGTATATTCCAGCAATTAAAATTATTCTGTTTCCTAAGGTCTTAAAAAATATAGGCCTACTTGCAATAACATTTTCTATGTTTTTAATAATTTTCCAGTAATAAAAAATGGGAAATTGCGACCAAAATTATTGTTCCATTCTATGGAAATGATACAGAATAAATAATTCTCACGGGTGTTTCATATCTGTCAATCCCAAACATAAATACCAGCTGGCTGAGTGCCATGGACACAGACAGGTTCCGGTGGAGAGCTGCAGTACTGGTGGATGTTCTGGAGAGTAAAATGTTGGACTAATTAATAATTAACTTATTTCCCACAATTTTTCTTGTTATTTTCAAGCATTAATTCATTGTTGTAATGAAATTTTCAAATGCTGTTCCAAGGTATATTTTACATTTAAAAAATAAATAACTTAAGGCCCTGAATCTAACACGTAGGCCTACTCAACAACATACTGTTTGTGTGCAATTGATTTAAAAAAAAATATTTTCACACTTTTATCAACTTGCAAAAGGCCTAAAAAAATTGTATTTTTGTCAGATTTTGGCACTATATGCAAAGTCACTCATACAAGATTTTGTACAATCTCAGGTATGTGTGAACCCCACACAACAAATTTTGTATTGGCCTCGGGTACATATGAACCTCACACACCACAAATGTACCTACCTCAAGTACATATGAACATCACACACCATAAACATACATACCTCAAGTATGTTTGAACCCCACACACCACAAATGTACCTACCTCAAGTACGTGTGAACCCCACACACCATAAGGCAGAGAGTAGCAGACATGGCACAACCAAAGTATGAGGCGAAGTTCATTAATTTAGGACGTTTATCTCCCTTGTCCCACTGAAAAACACAACCAAAGTATGAGGCAAAATTCATTAAAATAGACAGTTATTCCCCTTGTCCCACTGGAATAAAGCAAGAGATTGTGAAATTAAAATAATAGTTTAGGGGGGGGGGGGGGGGTTCATCCAATAATAACATTAAACTTTTTTTGAAAATTCAAACCTCAATTAAATCCTAAAATAAGAAATGCTTCACTCAATCACACCCCCCCCCCCCCCCCCAATCACACTTTGTTTCCAACTGAAACATTAACTGAACTGAGTTTGTGATTTAAACTATTTTATTTCTACAATTAAAAAAACTACTAAACAGTTGTTAAAATAATTGTTAAAATTATGTTCCAAAATTATTTTTTTTAAATACAAAAGCATGATGAGACACATTTTGAACGCCCCCCCCCCCAATAATAACACATCATCAACAAAAGCCCAAACACACCTTGTAAGTGTGACACCATTTATGTATAACACCCTAAACCAAATAATATAAAACAAGGAATAATAAGTCAGGAAAGATAACTCCGTTCAACCATATCATGGGTGACAACCCAGACGAAACTATACATTTATAAGAATAGAAACACCACTCACATTATCATCGTACATGTCTGTGGTGATAGCATAAACCCCCTCACTGGTACAGGAGCAGATGCCGTTGGTCTTGATGTAGCGCGTCATGGTGCAGTTTTTTCTGGTCCATCTCCAGTCTGTACGACTATTATGTGATTGGAATTTTTTTATTAATATTAGCAACATTCTAAAGTGGCTACATAATGTTTTAATGTAAGCTACCTGGTTTTTTTTTAAAAGGACTAACTAAAATTTAAGAAACAATATTAAAAATGAGCAATAGAGACAAAAATAATATTTTAACATAATGGTTCATTCATAATAAATATTCTAATAAAATTTAACTAGTTCAAGAATTTTTTCTCCTCACTTTTTACCTCCAATTAACGTCACAAGAAAAATTAAGTCTTTTGCTTTACTATCCAAAATTTTTATACTCAAAAACTAATATAAGCACTAAACAAATATAATTTTCCTGGTTGAGTTTTTAATTATCTAACCCTTTGTGACACAGCCTTACACACAGAAAACAAAAAATGTATAATTTTCCTGGTTAAGTTTTTAACTTACCCTCTGTGTTGCAGCTTCACACACTCAGGGTTGGATATGTTCTTTGTCTAGAAAAAAAAAGAATTGAGCACCAAAAATATAGGCAAGATATAATATTAATAGATGTTTAACTAGGAAGTTGGTGTCATAAAATTTTTTATTTACTATTAATCTGATGGATCACCTCATAAACTGAATGTATCACCACATTTATCTGTACAGCATAATATTTATCCATGTGTCACCACATCAGCTCAATGCATGCCCCCATCAACTCTATATATCACCACTTCATTTCCATGTACACCACATAAATATAAACTCCATATATCACCACATGAACTCCATATATCACTACATAATCTCCATATATCACCACATAAACTCTATATATCACCACATAAAATCCATATATCACCACATAAACTCCATATATCACCACATAAATGCCATATATCACCACATAAACTCCATATATCACCACATAATCTCCATATATCACCACATAAACTCTATATATCACCACATAAAATCCATATATCACCACATAAACTCCATATATCACCACATAAATGCCATATATCACCACATAAACTCCATATATCACCACATAAACTCCATATATCACCACATAAACTCCATATATCACCACATAAACTCCATATATCACCACATAAACTCCATATATCACCACATAAACTCCATATATCACCACATAAACTCCATATATCACCACATAAACTCCATATATCACCACATAAACTCCATATATCACCACATAAACTCCATATATCACCACATAATTGCATCACCACATAAACCCCACACATCACCACATCAATTCTATGTGTCACCACATCAATTCTATGTGTCACCACTAACATCTAGGATGGGCAGACTTATAATGATTGGTGAGCTCAGGTTCTCAGCTGGTATCCTTTTATCATCTTTCAGGCGCTGAATGTGGAAGTAGAGGGCAACAATCGGAGTATTTACACGATCTTCTTTGTTGGACCTGGAAGAAACCAAAACTTAATCAAAACTATGTGACATCATATGCTAAAGAAAGCAATGTCAACAATGTCAATTGATCCACTAAATTGTAAGCAATACTAGACCAATGTGAGTATAGGTAACAATGTTAGAGCTACTCACGCGGCACGATTGGACGATGGCAGCATTCTGTACAGTGTTTTGTAGCGGAATGTTGATATACCAAAGAAAACTGGAGTGGAGAAATATTAATGTTGATTTACCAATATAAAATGGACAGGAGAAATATAAATGTTGATTTACTAATGAAAACTGGAGGACAGATAATATAAATGCTGATTTATCATTGTAAAATGGAAGGCAGACATATAAATGTTGATTTGCTAATAAAAACTGGAGGACAGATATATAAATGCTGATTTACCATTGTAAAATAGAAGGCAGATTTATAAATGTTGATTTACAAATGTTAAAAAAAATATCTTGAGAGGTGTGGTAGGCTGAAGTGTGACTTCATTTTAGATTATGGGTCATGGCTGTGTGAAGATGAGTTACTTAGTAAAGGGGGCGTGAACAGGTAAAAAGTGTTTTTAAACTTCTTGACAGAACTTTATGATATGGATATGATGAGTATAAACGTATAAAAATACCGTGCTTTATTTACAGTTGAGCTGGGTTTTTTTTTTATAAAAAAACACAAGCAATGTCATCTTAATTGTACTTTCAACTTGCAGGGTTTGAGCATTATGTATGTTTGTTTTAAAATGTTAATACTTTCAGGTAAAATTCTCAACATGTAGACATTCACATAGACCTGAATTCCCACCCCCCCCCCCCACTAAAGTCAATTTTATTTTCGAACCCCCCTCTTTGTGGAAGTCACAAACTGGCTGATGACTTAAATGATACCTAAATTTATAATAAAGGGGAAGTAACAATTAAATTATTTAGCAACTGTATTTTTACAGACTGATTTTTCTTTAACTACAATTACAAGGTTACACTTAGCAGAAAGTGAAATTTTACCTGTTGCCCCTGTAGCGTTGGCAGCATTGATAGTCTCAAGGGGTAGCTTGACAAACCCAGATTCCCTGGCAGGTCGTCCATTGCTGTCCAGCATACTGGAGTCTGGGAACTCTAGCGCCTCCTGGCTGTACACCCACTGCATCTCAATCTTAAACTCTGGGAGTGGAGAGTTAGAAATTTTAGGAAGTTTTTTTACCATTGTTGTAGGACCTAGCTCCAATCCACTCTCAATATTGAACTCCAGGAGAGGAGAGTTATAAAAAATATTCAGGACTTTTTATCCCCACTGTGCTACTGCATCTAAATCTTATTCTCAAAAAGATTAAATTTTTAAAATATTTAGCAATTTCTTTTTTATTTTATGCCTACATGAGCTGATTTATCAGTCTTAACCTCAGAGAATTTTAGAACCTTGAAATATTTTTGTGATTATAGATATTGAAAGTCTAGGCCTAGATCAATGACACCTCAATCTTAAACTCTGTGAGTGGAGAGTTGTAAACATTTTGAGGACATTTTTTTTTCCTCATTTAATGGCCTACATCTAATCTACCAATTCACTTAAATTCTGGAAAGAAGAGTTGTTCAACTATACGAACCAGCAAGGGAGTTATGCCCATTCTGTTAACTACAACACAGGGTCAGATGTTTTTGTTTTAGATTATTATCTTGGTTTAGGAGTTGTCTGTGCAGGTACTAAGTTGTAATTTATTATCAAATAGGATTTTTAACTGAGAGGACATTGTAGACATAAATGTCAACAAGAGAAAAACATCTAAAGTGGTATTTTCAAAGCCTGAAGCAGAGAAATAATTATTACTCTGTTTGTTAAGACAAGTTGTATAGTAGCAGACTATACTTTATAGAGTTTAAGACTAGACTAGTTAGGTTTAACCTCTAATATATGGTTGATGTTTTAGTTTGTCCTGGTCAGGGATAAAGCAGAGTTGAAGCTACAGTTGTTTCAGTTAAAATTGGGATTCAAGGAATAAAATTGCATTGGTCCTTTTCTGCCAGCTTAGCAAAAAAGTAGCTGAAATTTAAAGAATTAGAATGCAGAAAATATGTGACCTACCCACATAAGGCAGAAAATATGTGACCTACCCACACAAGGAAGAAAATATGTGACCTACCCACGTATTCTCTGATGATTTGTATGGTTGCAGCCTTGTATGTCACCAGGCCATCCTTGATGTGATAGTCTAATGACCTGCTGATGACATCAGCAAATTCATACATGGCCTGCATCAACTGGTCCCCCTCGTCCCCCAGTGGTTGTGTGGCATTCCAACCTGCCTCGTTACGCGGGGCCAGCAGGTTGTTCACAATGTTGATGAAAAGCTAATAGGAAAATCAATGAAAATACATTTTATTATATATGGCTACATTGTCTAATATGGGACGGAGTGGTATAGTGGTAGAGAGCTGGTCTGCTAACCCGTAAGTCTCGAGTTCGAATCCGGGTTCAAGTCAGTAGACCGTCCCTGAGTCCACCCAACTCTGATGGGTACCTAACTCACGTTAGGGAAAGTAAAGGCGGCTGGGCATAGTGCTGACCACACTATCTCTTCATATGCCGAGGTCACAGAAACAAGTGAACTCTACTTCACTTGCCCCATAGACCATCAGGTTTGAAAGGGAAACTTTACATTGTCTAATAGACCATTTGATGATTGCCTGTTTTATCAGACCCCCTCTATCCACACAGCTAATGTACCCAAGGGAAAGGACGTTACCTAACAAACAATACTAAGGAATTGAATTAAATATTTACGATCATTTAAAACTATGGATAAGATTAGGTGATTAAGTTTATTAAAACTATTGGTGAGTTGGATGAAATGTTTAGGTTTATTAAAATGATGGACTGGATCAGGTGCATAGGTTTATTAAAGCAAATGGTGGGTTGGATGTTTACCTCACTGAATGTTTTGGTCTGCTGGAAGGTAGGATAAATTTCATTGGTGACTGAGGCAAACATGTTGCCTTCTGATTTCCAGGTGACTGTTCTTGGGGCAATGTCCTGAGGAATAGATTAATGGGAGAATAATGGTGGGACATTAATGAGGCATTGATCTGTAAAATAGAGAGGCTTCCCTTGAATCTCCCATCATAAGTTTACCAAAAAAGAAACTTAAGCTGGCTGCTAAAGTAAATGAGCTCGGTTGCATCTGATGAAAACATCGCTAGTCTTTATTTATTACTGAAAAGTTTTTATACTATTGTTTAAAAACAGGTACATAAATAATAGTATTTCTCTCTAACTTGGATGCGTGGTCGGTTGCTAACAACAATATGGCGCCCGGACCGGACGTCTGATTTCCGGTGATTTTTCGGCCAAATTCCAGAGACCTTCAACTAATTACATTTAAAAATGTTTACCACGCGCAAAATGGCGGGATTTCCGTGTCATAACAACAAACCATAAGTGGCAGGGTTAGATATGCCAGAAAAGCATTTTAAAATTTGGTTTGGAGAACGGAGGCTAAATTCAAAAGTTGGTTTCATTAAAATTAATAGAATTTTAAAAATATCAACAGTGTAGGTACAGAAATGAGCGAGAACGTAAAGCATTATTAGTTTTATCAGTCTATGAAAAAAGAAATCAAATATTGTGAGCTGTTTTTTTATAAGACCGGCGTCCGTATCACAACCAATTTATTTTTATTTTTTAAAAACCACGTGACCGCTATTTGGTGATCACTAGTGAGGAACTCTTGTGCATGGAGTCTAACCTGATTTGTGGTTTTCTTTAGCTTCAAGCTTAAGAACAGTTGTCATGGAGAGATGTGTTGGACATGGTAGTGATTGACAATAAATATTAAATTAACTAATTTAGTTCAAAACGAACTAAAAACTCCAAAGTTAGTGCCTAATGGATTAAATATGGATGTCTATTATTCAGTGGTCATGTTTAAATTGATAATTGCGTAAATTCTAGATTTAGTGAGAAAAACTAATAAATAAATCTTTGAAACATTTTTGTAAATTTTAAAACATAAATCCTCCTAAAATAATTACTAAAATTTAAGGAGTCACCTTTTTTCACATTACTGGATTTTAATAACTAGATCTAGTCTCGGCCGATTTTAATTTACGTACCTTAAGTCTTAAGTCCTAAAACGATAGATTACCATAATAATCTGTGTAGTAGAGAATATAAATTTACCTGAGCTCTGACCAGTATAAATAGAAGGTCGATCACAGTGGCAATGTCGACCGGATTGTTATAGATATTGACCTCCGTGTGGTTTAGAAGCTGGTAGGCCAGCTTGAGTAGCTCTATCTCGTTTATACCATAGTTGTCAATATACTTCGTCTGGAAAAATAAATCATTTACGTATTGATCAGTCAGCAGCAGTTTAAAAACCAAACACCGGTGTGCCAGATTGGCCGCTATTTTATTTTTTTTACGTACCCTAATTTTCAGCTCCAGCAGTTCTGGGGAGATACAGTCGTCTATGATAGGGTCCTGCCACTCTCCTTGATACTTTCTTGCTTCCATGCAGAACCTAATGGCATTTTCTGTGGGGTGGGGGGGGGGGGTCAAAAAGGGGTTAAATTTATTTTAACACCACAGTTCCACCACATATTTTAGCTTACCATGTTGTTAAATTAGTATATTGTGACAAAAGAATATTTATAAAAAAAACTTAACGATAAAATAAATAAATAAATAAAATAACGATAAAGCACTATTAAAAAGAAATTTTTTACAAAAGTCTTGTCTTTTTGTTTAAAAAAGAAAAAAAAGATCAAGGCCTATATAGCCTACACGTCTGTTTCATATTTTGTAGGCCTATGCAAACAATATAACACTTTTCAAATAAGCTTTCAATTATTATCAACCAGCCTACTATGCTACTAACTTACAAGATTGATTTAAGTCTAGAGTCTAAATTTTAAAATATAGAGCTTCTAATGTAGTAAGCGCACGTTTCACATTTCAATAATATATTGAAACTTTTAGTTTAACTTAGAGTTATTAAATCAAAATAATAAAAAGGCCATGATCTGTAGTATCCATTTAATGCCAAATTTAGTCTATATTTGCCTTACTTAAAATGGTTGAGTTATCTCCCTGGCTGCTGAAAGTGGGACAAGGAACACTGACATTACGATTGGTTTCCTGTCTGTCCCATTTGATATTTTCCTTGATCTCCATGTTGCACCGTGCTCCTGTGGTTTACAATAGGGAAAACTTTAATAGCAAACATTACTCGAGAGTTATTTCCCTTTAATGCTAAATTTAGCAGCTTAAGATATTACGTGATTAAGAATGGGATAAATTTGAATGTTGGATACTATTACATTGGAGTTATTTCCCTTTAATGCTATATCTAGCAGCTTGATAAAACTACGTGATATAGGACGGGACAATTTTTAATGTTAGATAACATTACATTGGAGTTATTTCCCTTTAATATTATATTTAGCAGCATGATAAATTTACGTTTTACTAACTAATTTAGCAATGTGATGAAAGTATGTTTGTACTGACCAATTGAAGTACTGCAAAACGTTTCACACGATTTGGCAAGTGAAGATGCATTATTGCATGGATATGATCCTGCTGTTAGTAAAAAAAAATATTTCATACAGATTATATAAAAAATACAATTAGTAAATGCAATCTTACTATCTAAAATGGTTAGTTCACAGTTTAGATAAAGAAATTGAAGGCAATTTTTAGGAGCGATGTGATTAAATGTTATGTTGTTTCTTTTATCACTTTCAGGCTCCTCTTCGGTAGTATTACATTTTTAAAAATTTATTTCTACACGCCAATCACCCAAAGAACGTTATAGTCTGTAATATATATGTACGTACAAGATAAGATGCGTACAAAAATAAAATTAAAAGATGCGTACACAATTTGAAAATGTGCATACAAAACAAGAAAAGGTGCGTAAAAAACAAGAAATGATGCGTACAAAACAAGAAAAGGTGCGTACAAAACAAGAAAAGGTGCGTACAAAACTAAAAAATGTGCTTACAAAACAAAAAAGGTGCGTACAAAACAAGAAAAGGTGCGTATAAACATGAGAAGGTGCGTACAAAACCAAAAAAAGATGCGTACACTATTTGAAAAGGTGCGTACAAAACTAGAAAAGATGTGCACAAAACTAGAAAAAAGTGCGTACAAAACTAAAATAAGGTGCGTTCAAAACAAGAAATGATGTGTACAGAACACGAAAAGGTGTGTACAAAAAAAAAACTTACTACGTATCCCTGAGGGCCATCTCATCTTCATGGCACCACGGGTACCTGACCGGAACTCCACCCATTGAACAGCATTCCCACAGTACATAAACGTGCAGGAGTTATTCATGTCAAGAATCTAAAACAGGATTGGTGGTACATACAATCGCAAATATTATAATTTAATGTGAAGAAGCTTATGTAGGGTATTTTAAAAATGTGTGATAAAATAGTGTTAATTTCAATATAATTATAGTTAATTAGTGAGAATGGTGGAAACTTGAAACATCAGTTTAGAAAGAGATGTGGCTTTTTTATGACGTGTGACTTTAGGTTAGAGTTACTCCCCTGTTGAGGCTTAAATGTACTTATAAAATTTATAGTTAAGGGCATTTACAATAAATGCAGCATTTTTAGAAGCGTTAATTTAGTAATGGAAAAGTACCTAATTGAAGATATTGCAATAATATATTATTTTAGTTCAAAAGGTAATATATTTGTAAGACATATTCAAATGCTAAAACCACACCATAAAAATCCAAAAGGAGTAGTTCCCCTTTACTTTTTAGCACGCGCGTCTAAGTATATCATGTCTCTCAGAAAGGTTTTCCTCTTTAAAATTTCAGGTAAATAAAATGAAATTAAGAAATGAACAAAACTTTCATCCAATTTGAATAGGAGTGACGGTACTATGAAATAACACATAACCATCTTTTAAACGTAATTTTCATCTATTTACGGATATACTATCTTAGCCAATTATTATTTAGGTTTGTAAAACAAATTACATAAAATAAAAATATTTAAATAAATAACATAACAGTTTTGTTGGACAGCGGTTGGCAGTACCTGCTTATCACCCAAGGCTTCATTCCAGATATTCAAATGAGACAGGTCACCATCCAGTGCCAACGAGCTGTTGAACACTGCTGTCGTCCTTGAACTTTGACCTAGAACGAACTCCCCTCCAGATGGTATGGCGAAAGAGTCATTTCCGGTCCACTTGATGCGTCCGGTTATTGAGCAAACCCCGTTGATGCACAGCTTCCATGTCCCATCTGAGTTTTTTTTTTTTAAATAACAGATACAAAAAAATGTAACCATTGAAAAATACAATATTTTATAGGCAGTGACGGATTATTGGGGGGGGGGGAGATGGGAGGGCACTGGGGTCAACGATGTTTCAGTATCTGCTAAAAAAAATTAGCCAGATATATGTGCTGTTAATAAAAAGCTCTGAGTCGCCCTTTGAACTGGAAGGATTGGAGAGAGGGGGGGGGGAAGAAACAGTGCCCAAGTATTTCTGTATTTCAAATGTGTGTTTTGAAACTGAACTTCTGAAGAAATTTTTTTTACAATGTATTTAATACAATTGATCAATGTGCCTAATCTTAATACAGATTTCCTGCATTTCGAGTACAAATACAAAAAAAAATATAGTGATTGATATTGGGGGAGGGGGGTATGGGCGGAAGGGATTCGTATGTGGGAAGTGGAAGGGTAGCGGGGGTCTGTGAATATGTATGACAATGTGATAAGGGGGGGGGTGAATTCAATTTTTTTAAAAATATTAACAAAAAAACAGAGCTTTGATCATATTTTAAAATTTAGTATACATGTTTCACACTTTCCCCTTGTATGCCGTGGTCATTGAATCAGATGAGCTCTACTTCATCTGCCCCATGTGTCTTAGGGTACGAACATGAAAAGATAATATGTGTTTAGCCGTGTCTCTGCTTTTCGCACTATTAACTAGTGGACCTGTTTGATCGGATAAACGACGCGACTAAAACATTTGCGTTGAAACAGGATCACTAACTCTTATCTACAATTATCCGCATCTTTGTGGGTTCTTGGGTATGAAAACTGTGAACTCAGCTCAACTCATCCTACTGATCGAGGCAAATTACTGCTGAATAATATTGTTATCTCCCATTTTGTTATTGAAATTCGTAATTTTAAAATTAATTTCACATGGTTAAACTAGTGCGGTATCTAATTAGATTAAAAAATTAAATATTCTATAGTTATTGGATGATGAGAATGTATATCTGCTAAAAACATGCTTTCAAATGCACTGAAAATAATAAGAAAAAAACTAATTTTCTTTCTTCTGTTTTACTTATTTAAGCGATCAAAGCATTTTTATTAAAGTCGTTTAGTTTTATTCTCTAATTTTCAGTGCAGTTAAAAGCTTGTTATTCGAAGGGGTTTTGTGTGGGTTTTATTTTCCACTTTTCAGTCATTCGTTCTCAATGAAGATGACACTACATAGGTTACAAGTAAAAATACCAAAACTCAACTAATAGCTCTAAAGACAGTTATCTGCCCCTCAGTTCATTGGCGACGCTCAGGTAACAAACAGTGACTAAACATTCGGCGTGAGCCACAGCTCAGCCAACTAATAGTGGCTATCGCGTCTAGCTGGTTATTTCCCCTTTTATTATCGAATTCAGTATTCTTTTAATTATAAATTATTTTATCTATAGTATAATTTTGTTTAAATAAATTCACGCAATGTAATTAAAGAAGAAGATATCTGAAACGTGTGAACGGAATCGGTGCATTAGAAGTGGTTCAACATTGAGTTACAAGATTTGCCACAAATTCACAAACAAACACGTTGCAAACTAACTAAAATCTTTTTAAAAATTACATTAAAAAATAGATAGACTTGTATTGTCATCGAAGTTAAACGTATCTGGAAAGTTAGAACGAAATCGCTGCATTCGAAGTGGGTCAAAATTGAGTTTTAAGATTTGCCACAAACCCACAAACAAACAAACAGACTTTTAAAACTAAATAAAAGCTTGTAAAAACAACAGGTGTAGCGGTAAACAAAATCTTCCTCACCTGTCGAGTTCCAGGTGAGGGCGATGTGGTACCAGCTCACACTCATCAGGCTGATATCCGTCAGCACCTCTTGTCCTAGAATCTCAAACTTAAGCTTCGGCCCGCTTGTCATGCGCAGGAGGTTGCCCATGGTGCGGACCTTGTAGGAGAAGATGGTCCCAGGGTGCTCGGCGTCGGACACGTTGATCCAGAAGGCGATGGTGAAAGAGTTGAGGGCGGGGAAGGCTTTACCCAGCAGGAGGGTGTACCTGATTGGCTCCCCTGATCTGAACTCGAACCTGGAGTCGACAGCTGAGGCTGGAACAGATGTTATGGACAGTCATATATATATATATATATATATATATATATATATATATATATATATATATATATATATATATATATATATATATATATATATATATATATATATATATATATATATATATATATATATATATATATATATATATATATATATATATATTTCAAAATTTTGAAAAACGAAAGTGTCATGATTTGTCATTGGCTGTATCTTATTGCGTGTAGTTCGTGGTTTTCAGCTGCCTGCACCCCCCCCCCCCCACCCCCACCCCAGCTTAACTGTACTGGTTAAAGTGATGGCCATGAATGATAGATAGCTTCAATAAAGGTGAAGATTTTTTACGTTGATGTCTCTTATCTACATACATACTTGTCAATTTCCTACGGACAAACTTGCCAACTTCTTACGTACATACTTTCCAACATTCTACGTTCTTAATTTAATTGCAAATTTTCTACGTACACACTTGTCACCTTCCTACTTACATATTTCTCAACTTCCTACGGACAGACCTCTAACACACTCTCAGTGCCGGCGCCAGGTTATTTAGCGCCCTAGGCAAAACTTATTAAAACGCCCCCTTCACACAAATTAATTACTAAAACCAGTGTATACGAGAACAATTAATTAAAATTGACATATTAATTTATTATCAATTGCATACATGTTATAAGTAGACATCAAAATAAAATTTTCTCTTGTCTCCTTCGTCGCAAAAGGTTGTACTAATTCCTTCAATTCCAGTTTATAGCGTAATAACATTTTATTATTTTATTGAAATTTTTGCTAACTCCACAAGTCCTTTTTGTACTTTACGACATAGCCCCCCCCCCCCCTACCATTAGAAAATTTGAAGTGCCCACCCATCCCGGGAGAAAAAAGTCTGGAAAAAAAAACACTGAAAAAAAAGTTCTTGTAGTGTTGGGCTCTCTGCAGTCCTCCCAAGGTGAGTTCCAGAATGAAACTTACCTGTTTTAATCTTGACTGTCTTTAGTTATAATTGTAAAATGACTATATTGTGTGATTATGTAACGATTTTTTTGTTTTTGAAAAATAAAAGGTTATAAATGTTATAGATTCCAGCCTAAAATTGTAATATATGAATCCTTTAGGACAGGGGTTCCCAACCTTTTTTACTCTAGAGCACATTCTGAAATATCGGTAGGGTGGCGGGCACCACCTATTTTAAATCGACAAACTCCTTCCAGAGGCGTAGCGACCCTTCCCGTCACCCGGGGACAAAACTTTCGATTTGCACCCCCCCCCCCCCTCAAATTTTCGATTTGCACCCCCTCCCTTCCCCCCCCCCCCCTCAAACTCTCGATTTCCATGCCCTTCAACCTTTCAATAATGTTTGTGAAAAAAATTCTGTCTTTGTCGAATAGTGAGAGGCGGGCACATACGAATCGTTCGGCGGGCGCCATGGCGCCCGCGGGCACGGGGTTAGGAACCCCTGCTTTAGGAGAAGGTGAAAAATAAGAAAAGACAATTACGACTAAGACTGTATGTCTACTAACATTAAGTATTGCAATCTACAACGGCTACTGATGTATTTGTTTTTCAGCTTAATAATGCTAAAACACCTACCAAACTATTTTGTTTTTTGAACTTAAGCTCTATATAATTTTTTCAATGGCAAAAAAATAACTGAAAGTTGTATTTATATGTAAGCGGTCAACCTAAGGTGCAGGAATTTGAAAAGAATGTAAAGTTAAGCAACAAATTATCTCCCATTTGAAAATCCAAATAACAAAAGTTTATTCAAGGTAAATAACTTTCACAAGAATAGCCAAAGTAACCAATTGTAACTAAGACATGATTGAAAAACACAATAAAACGCTGTAAAATTTCATTACGTAATAAATATAACATTTTTTTTATATTAACTATGTAACCTTGTGAAAACAATATATTTTACCTATTAAATACTTAACTGTATGTTTTGTTTGAAAATCCAAAAATGGTAGCTTTATTTTATCATACTTGTATTTAATTTTGATGAGATTTTTTAATTGTATACTGATGATCACGATTTTAAAAATTTTTTGGATCCCTAAATAAAGGGACGTCTTTCAAAAATTAAACACTGGAAACTGTTTTAGACATTGTTAGAATTATTGATTTTTAAAAAATAATATATAATTTGAAAAAAACAAACAAAGTTTACGGTTAGTTATAAATTCGATCCTATTTAAAATTAAATATTAATAATTTAAGAGTTTTAACATAGATTCCTAAAAAACAAGATTTTTCAACTAGAGAACGCCTACCTTTCTTTGTAGTGTGTTCCGTACTGAATTGAAATCATCTAACTTACGATAAACTCGACTACTCTATATACTTTACTACATTCACAACACATATCAAACTTCGATACCTAAACATAACTAGACTCGATGCTCCAGAACTACGACACCAACTCGCTTAACTTCACCAAGCTCTACAAACGGTACTCCCAATCAACAACGATTTCACTGGACCTTCTACTACACTTTAACAGTCAATATAATTCGATACCTAAATACCACAAGAATCAATACTCCCGAACTCCAGAACTACGATACTTCATCACCTGCACTCTCATTTCTCTATTACCAATAAAATTCCATTAGACCTTCAACTACAAAACAGCCGAATAAAAATGATGACACTTTAACACTTCGATACTTTATACCTACGAAACCATATCAGCAACAGACTTCCGCCGTTACTCCCAAATCTAAACGGTTCATCAAGTCTTACCAAACAAGTACAATACTTTGAACACCCCGTCATTACAAAACTCTGTACACCAGGAAATATTGCTAATTCAAAGTAAGGGAAAACGAGACTTACAAGCCCTATTAAAATTAAATAACCGTTTGAAATGTTCGAAATTTAAATTACGAACTTATTTAATCGCTTTCTACATCAATTATGTGACACCAAAATAAAAAGGCAAAGTGACTGGTAAAAAGTGCGCCGACCTTTCCAAATTAGGGAGGTGGGTTGCATTTTCACCATCGCGAAAAAATATAGGTATATATAGGCCTAATTTTAGGGTTGGGGTGCAAAATTGATAGTTTGTCCTGGGCGCCGAAATAGATCGCTACTCATTTATAAAAGTTATTAATTATTAGGTACTTTTTAATAATAGCGATTAAACATTAGGCGCCCCCTTAGGGATGGCGCCCTAGGCGACCGCCTAGTTCGCCTTATTGGTAGCGCCGGCAGTGGCGTAGCCAGGTTTGTCTCAAGAGGGGGGGGGGGGGGTTCCAATCTTTACCCGGGGACAAACTTTCGATTTGCACCCCCCTCAAACTTTCGATTTGCACCCCCCCCCTCAAACTTTCTATTTGCACCCCCCCCCCCTCAAACTTTCGATTTGCACCCCCACCCCTCAAACTTTCAATTTGCACCCCCCCTCATACTTTTTATATATATACCGAGGGGTCTATGGGGGGGGGTTATGACCCCCCCCCCCCCTTAACCCCCCCCCCCCCCCACCCTGCCTACGCCACTGAGCGCCGGCCCCGCACACTCCTACTTACAAATGCACATGTGTGTGTTCCAATAGAAGCCTGGCCCACACTCACACCCATAGCCATCCTCGTGATCTTTACATTCAGGTTTTGTGTAGTAGGTGTCTAGACAGTGGCTCCATTGGCAGGTCAAATCCCCTGGAAATATCATTATTTAACGAATCAAATAGCTAAAGAAATAGCCATAACAATATATATATATATATATATATATATATATATATATATATATATATATATATATATATATATATATATATACATATATATATATATATATATATATATATATATATATATATATATATATATATATATATATATATATATATATGTACATACTTAATTATTTATAAGGCTTTTATTTTTTTTAACTATAATAAAAGAAACCATACAAAATTTGAAAAGAACTACACCCCATATAGACTGGCCTTCGTATAACCAACATTAAAGAAACCGAACAGAATTAAACCCTACAAATGATGGTTTTAAAAAAAGTAAAAAAAAACAAAAAAACACCTACGACTGTTATCAGGGCAGGCTATGACTCCCTCCAGAAACAGGAGACATAACAGGACTAGTCTGCTCCACGCCAGGGGTGCTATTTTGCTGCGGTTAATTCCCTTGTTGGGGGCGTTTTGAACGGCGGACATCATGTCACGGCTTTTTCCTGCAGACACATATAAAATACATGCGGCTATGAACATACATCAGTTCATGTTGTGAAGAAATACAGGTCAGTCGTTTTCTTTGTTAAAATAAATGATATACTGAACTTAACCTCTAAAGACATATAATATATGTTTTTAGAAAATGAACTAATTTTTTTATAGTTTTAACTACATACTAGTAGTATATTATACTACTAGTATATAGTTAAAACTGTACTGTCAAGTTGGTCTATATTTATTAACAAAACACATGTTTTCGTTCGTGCGCTTAATTAAAATACACACACTCCAAAATCTCATGGTAATCCGTAAATGAATTAATACAATTAAAGATACACCTCCTCTCCCCCGTCCAATTTACAAAACAATATAATATATAGATTATATGGACTAAAATAACGGATATGATGATCACTTTCCATGACTAATAAGTGAGGTTAGGGGATAGGGATTGTGCACACGAATGACGAAATGGATCGTGTATGTATGAGTGAGTTGAGAGATCGCGAACATATCGTCGTTCAGCTGGGTGTGGTTACGTATCGTAACATAATACACAAGAGTGAGGTAAGGGATCATAACACATGTTAGAGAACACACAAGATGTTGGGGGGGGGAGGGTTAAACATGTGTTATATTGTATTTTATGGGGTTTTAGGGTAAGCAAGATTATAGAACACTATCTTAGATATTTTTTAAACTTCTCAAATCTTTGATTATTTAGAACAGTTGGGTGAATACGTTGATACAATGCAGAGGCGTAACGAGGGGAGGGCGGGTGGGGGCGCCCGTCTTAGGCGCCGACCCAACTGGGGCGCCAAAAGGTAAAAAAAATACACAAAAAGTTCGTTCTAAGCTGCACTACTGAATTATCCACAGTGGAGATTTAAAAAAAAAGACTGCTACTTGGCTTTACTGGCTTTAAAACAATTCTCTACATCAAATGTGGGACACCATAACAAGACGGGTAAGTGACCAGCAAACAGCACCTCAACCTTTCCCAAATAAAAGGGGACGGGCGATTATTTATAGGCCTGAATAAAAGGGGGGGGGGGGACGGGGACTGGATAGTTCACCCCCAGAGTGGGTCGCTCCGCCCCTGACACAATGGGTTTACGCGGGGATTTATTTTTTCTTTTAGCTTATCTATTTTAAACATTTGTAATTTGATGAAGATGCAACAGTTGACTTTCTCTAAGTTGATAAAGATATTTTTTGACATTACATGCTGTCATAAGGTACTTTTTTTTGCGTGGCACGAATTTATCTTTACCACCCATATTTATTAACGAATATTTAAAAATTTGAATAAAACAAACGAAAGAAAAAAAGGTTTAATTGAAATGTTAAATAATTGCTTAACAAGTGTAATTACAAGAAAAAAAATATTTTGAAGTTTAACTCTTCGAAAAATGTTTTTTTTAAATAAATTAAAGATAGTATTGTCAGGGTTAATTGTAGATGAACGCTTAAAATGTTGAATCGCAACGAACGAAAGAAAACATTTGAAAAAAAAAACTAAGGAAAAATATTTCGAAACTTAATTCTTGGATAAATGCATATAAAAAATAAAGAAAAGTATTTTGAAGGTTAACTGTTGATAAATGTTTAAAAAAGTCGAATCGCAACAAACGAAAGAAAGCATCGACCAGGAAGAAGCGAAGATCACCTAGACTGGCGACATCCCCCTCTCAACGTTGACAGATATCCGGGTCTCAAGAATCAATTCCAGTCATTTCGCTAAGCCGACATCGCGTCGATTAAGACATTTTTTTTCTTCAACCAAGAAATAGAAAAGCGAGGCAAATGTTCGTAACATTATCTGTAAAGTAATCGGTCTTTGGGTATAGCATGTCCTTTAAATAACAGTAAAAAAAATGCATTTCACTATTTAAGTGCAATTTGGATACATTTTTTGAGTTGCTTGATTTTATTGTTAGGAATAAGACAAAAGCGTTTGTCTATATTTATAATATAATAGTCTATTAAAACAGTGGAGTAGACAGGAGTTGATATACGCAAACACACACACACACACACATATATATATATATATATATATATATATATATATATATATATATATATATATATATATATATATATATATATATATATATATATATATATATATGTGTGTGTGTGTGTGTGTGTGTGTGTGCATGTGCATGTGTGTGCGTACGTATGCGTGTGTGTGCGTTCGTGTGTGTATTAAATTTGACACCGGTTGTACTAATGATCATCGTTAGCGTCGGAAATGCAACTTTCTATAACTTTTGTTACTGTGACTAGAAAGTGTAGAAAATAATGACATAACGACTGTAGATCATGTGACAATAGGAAAAGTGACAATATATAACTATAGAAGAGGAGCAAGTCTGTTATATGATGCTGTCTCGTCTAGCTATAATCCACCTTGTTTTCTAAGTAAAATTCCCTTTCAAACTTGACGGTCTATGTGACCTGTTTACAGATTTGAACCCGAGTTAGCAGTCGTATATTCTACCGTTCGACCACGCCGTCCCAGTTTGTTTTCTTAATAATTCATTCACTTTATCAACTTTTACATTATTTCTCGCTTTGATGTCTCTCACAAATGACCTCGTCCCGTTCACCATACCCGTAGATCTTAACATAGCAATTAATTTTTTTTTTACTTAGCCTTCTGTATTTAGCGTAGAAAAAAAAAATCGTTTTAAAAATATAGATCTAAATGACTCAAAATTGCTATTTCTTCGACAGTTCGTTAAAAAAATCAATCCGGAATGTATAAATATCAATTAAACATTTAAATTAGAGGCTGTATTTAGTGTTTTTTTGCTAACTAGCCAAGAACGGCCTGATGATGTTTGAAATCTCTAGCGTGTTGGTAGCTAATAATTACTTCAAAATAACTTTTTAATTATATTAATTTATCAAAATTGGAAATCGAAATCGGCAATGTTATTTTCATCCTGTTTTTTTTTAAAGAAAATGTTTCTATCCAGCTTAAGCATCGTAGATCAAGTAGCTTTTATAAAAACAGAGTCGCAATTCAAAAGGGGTGGAGAAGATGCGCTATCCTGAATCGATGGAGTCGATCCAGTTCTAATGGGTACCTTACATCATTTGGGGACAGTAAAATCAATTGCTGGGATGCAGCGAAATTTCCAACGATCAACAGCTGGGTGTGCACGAGAGATAAAAAAAAATATTCACAACAACCCCGGAAGTAATCAAAGTGAGGAAAAAAAATACAGTGAAAGATATAATGAAAACAGTGAAATGTAAAGGGAGAGAAGCAAAAAGGAAAAAGGTCACCAAAAAAGCAGGCAGTGAATCAGTGGGAAAGTCTAAGAGAGATTTTCTGGTCTTAAAAAACCATACTGCTGCCTAGTGTGTCTTTGTTAACACACCAGCACAGACGCATGCACACACACATATAAACATGCGCACACATACAATCACACGGACAAACACGCACATACGCACTTACACACAAACACACACACATACAAGCAAATAACACATAAATTATATACATATTTATGTGAGTGTGTTTACAATTGTTGTATAAGCCTAGATAAATAGCAAGATGATTTGCGTCGATATGAAATCAAGTATTTAATCCTCAAATGTATTCGATTGTTTGTAGTCGATGGTTTATTCTTTTCTCGATCGTCCAGCACACACTCAATCGCTTAGCCTACAGTCAATCATGTATTCTGTGGTCGATCGTCCACTCGATTATGTGTCCTTTGGACGTTAGTTCAGCCGATCGTGTATCCAGTAGTCGATCATCCAATCGATCGTGTAGCTTGAAGTCGATCGTTTAGCCGATCGTGTGTCTAGTACTCAATCGTAGCCTGCTGACGAACGTACAGTCAATCATGTATCCAGTATTCGATCGTCGAGTCAATCATCTATCCTCTAGTCGATCGTTCAGCCGATAGTGTGTCCAGCCGTCGATCGTTCAGCCGATCGTGTGTCCAGCCGTCGATCGTTCAGCCGATCGTGTGACCAGTGTGTCCAGCTGTCGATCGTTCAGCCGATCGTGTGTCCAGCCGTCGATCGTTCAGCCGATCGTGTGTCCAGCCGTCGATCGTTCAGCCGATCGTGTGTCCAGCCGTCGATCGTTCAGCCGATCGTGTGACCAGTGTGTCCAGCTGTCGATAGTTCAGCCGATCGTGTGTCCAGCCGTCGATCGTCCAGCCGATCGTGTGACCAGTGTGTCCAGTTGTCGATCGTTCAGCCGATCGTGTGTCCATTTGTCGATCGTACAGTCCACACCACAGTGCTGTTGCCTCCTTGTCTGACACAAATAATGATTAAATTTCCGCCTAGCCTGACTGCTAAAAAAAAGGGAAAGATAACTCAATATAAATCCGCTAATCAGACCGAATGGGACGGACAGACGCACAATTACTGCGGGTATTTCCGATCCTCGTCTATCTAACTGTACCCAACTACAATTGAGTAGAGGGAAGGGTTGAGGGGGGGGGGGTGAGGTGAAAAGGGTGTAGGGAGAGAGGGAGGGGGGTGGGACAGGAAGGTGGTTATGTCAGCAGTCGATTATTTTAGATGGGCCCATACTGTTAGATCGTGGTTCAATGTAGGCTGGGAACTATTTTTTTTTTTTGGGTTGATGTGTTTCTAAACGTTCGTGTGTTTTCAATCTTGATGCACGCTTTAAATTTTGATGCGTGCTTTCAATCTTGATGCGTGCTCTAGGTCTTGATCCACGGTTCGATTCTTGATGAGTGATTTTGATCTTGTGGTGTGCTTTCGATAATGATGTGTGATTTCATTATTGATGTGTGGTTTCGGTGATGATATGTGATTTTAATATGGATGCATGTTTGATGGACGGCTGGACAGACTCATGTTTGATGGACGGGGTAGATGGACACATGTTCGATGGACGGGGTAGATGGACACATGTTTGATGGACGGGGTAGATGGACACATGCTTGATGGACGGGGTAGACGGACACATGTTTGATGGACGGCTGACAGACAC